TTTCACTCACCAACTATAAATGTTTTCAGCTCAGTAGCTTTTCAGTAATTATTGTTTTCTTTTGTTTTGTTCTGTTTTTGAGTCACTGTCACTTTTTGTCTTCCTACGCCTGCTTCTTTCCAAGTCACCTGTACTTAACAGAGACAATTCTTTACAGTGTTACGCATGTTGCCAAAAATTTTTTCACAATTCTGAAAGTCATATATTTCCATCTATTTTTATCTACTGTATCACGTTTCGTCTAATTTTTAAATTTCTTGTAAAAGTAAGCGCTTTTATCAACAGCGAGCAATCTGCATAATTTTCAGTGGTTAGCAAATTTCAGAATTTACTGCTTCAGTAAGTCTTGAATCGCAGATGTTTATTCCTATGTAGTTCAAATTTTAACATTTTAATGCGAGTCTGTCTGTAACTTTCCATTGGGTATGGCCGGTTGATTATTGACTGCAGCTTTCTGAATCCTGAATTAAACTCCGCATTTATTCGTTGGTGAAATTAGAGCGGAAAGATACCAAAAAATTGAGCAGCTTTTCATTTTGCAAAAAAGCAGTTGCTTTTATAACAAATGAATTGTGAGATGATCTATAAAAAGACATCTAGACACACGGTTTTCTAAGATGTAAGAGGGTTTTTTAAAGCTAAAGACAACGCTGATAAAAAATGTCTGCAGAAATAAACGAAGATTTAGTGATAGCAAAATAAGAAAAATAACGGGCTACAAATGACTGCAGAATATTCGTTGCTGGAAAACTAATAAATTTCGTGTATTTGGCATTGGTCGACGTAACTGAAGAGTTGTTTGAAAGAATTATTGCTTATGTGAAAACTATCTTGATAAATGGTTTTATACAACTACGGATGCTTGTAAAAAAGTTTGTCTGAAATTCTTCTTGTTTAAAAACTTTTATTTGTCTTTTGAAAGCAGTAATAGATCGAAAAAATGAATAATCTAAACCAAACAAAAAAAAAAAAATACCAGCAGAGTAATACAAGGAGAAGAAAATAACTGTTTAGCAAAAAAAAAATATTCTAAAAAAATTTTTTTGCTGAACTTTAAAGATTAGATAAAAAAATAGAGCTAATGCATTGTTTGTTGTAAACAATAAAGTGTTTAATAGACCAAAAAAATCATTATAAAATTTATGTGGAAGTTAGGGATGTTCATAAATATACGTGTAATTTAATTGTATTTATTAAGTTTAGTTTTTTCACACCTATTGAAATTAGTTATATAACGGTTGCTTTTATAAAACAGTTATATCACAAAAAATTCTTCGGAAAAAAATTTTAACAATTTCAAAATATTGTACAAAAAATCCAAAACTTTAGTGTTTTTTGCTTCAATTTAATTTTTAGTGCTGTTAAACACTTATCGTCCTCGCCTCGTATCCCACGTACCAATTAAATAAATAAATAAATGAATAAATATCAAAAAAATATAAATATAAAAACAAGTGTAAATAAATAAATAAATAAACATAAATAACCTATATATATATATATATATATATATATATATATATATATCAAACAGTGTCTTTAAAGGTTGTATTAAACTTGCATTTCCTTAATCTGGTAGATTTATCAGTTTTATCTAACTCAAGTTTCAAATTTCAATGTCGACTTTTGGTGTAACTAACGAAACCAACAATACACACACAGAAAATCTATGCTTGGACGAATGCTATTTTTAATCTTCAAAATAAATATCAGATACAAGCAGTTGAACACTTCAATATTCTGTAATTCTAGAAAGACTAGTAGTAAGCTAAAGAAATAATACAACTAATTAAAAAAATAAAAAAAAGCAAAAAAAAGAATACATAAAACACTGAGTTTTTGAAATCGATTTAAATTATGTATTGTACAAAAAGAAATTACAAGTAGTTTGAAATAACAAGAAACATTTGCAATTTCTTTCTTCAGCAGTTTTTTGTACACATTAGCATTATTTTGGCTGTCGTAACACAAGAAATGTCTATTTTGACCAAAGACAACAGAAGTGGACATATACTGACAAATATTATTTGTCTTCATCTGCAAACTAACTTTTTTTACTTTTTCAGTTTTAACGTCAATTGCTTTTTGTTTCACCATATATATCTGTACATATAAATATATATGCAAGTATATATATGAGTATGTATACTTTATACATATATGAGCCATTCCATGCCAAACCGTACACTTTTTTCCTTTTATATTTCAGAATTTTCTTGAATTTTGCTAATTAGTAGAGTCTAGGCCAGTATAGAAAAAGCCGGAAAAAAGAACGTAAAAAAGTGAATTTCTGTCAAGTTGACAAAAAAGATATTTTTGATGTAAAAT